AGGACCTTGCAGACGATGACCGAGCACCGCCGCCAAAAACCACTCACAATGAAGAAAACATCGAGAAAGTCAAAGAAATTCTTCGAAGCGACTGCTGTATGTCTGCGAGACTCATCGAAGAGGAAACTGGAATACCGAAAAGCACAGTCTATCGAATTTTGACCGAAGATCTGGGCAAACGGAAGGTCTGTGCGCGCTTCGTGCCACATACTCTGACAGACGACCAAAAAGATTGGAGAGTTCAGCATTGCAAAGACATGTTAAAAAAGTCCCGAAGGAATCCGGCAAGCGTGTCAGCCATTGTAACTGGTGATGAAATGTGGTTCAATACGAGCTAAAAACAAAACGTCAGAGTGCGGTATGGAAGTCACCAGAAGAGCCAAAAGAGAAAAAATTACGCTTTCAGAAGAGCAAAATCAAGACAATGCTAACTGTTTTCTTCGATTTAAAGGGAATGTTCATAGTGAATTCGTCCCAGAAGGTCAGACGGTGAACGCAGAATATTATCTGGGAGTTCTACAACGATTGTGGGCCAGAATTCGACGAGTTCGACCGGAATATCGAGAGCCAAGCAGTTGGTTTTTGTTGCACGATAATGCACCATCGCATAAAGCCATGGTACGTGAATTCTTGACCAAAAAAGGCATCACTGTTATCGATCATCCACTGTATTCACTTGATTTGGCTCCGTGCGACTTCTGGCTATTTCCCAAACTGAAATTGGGGATGAAAGGAAATCGTTTCGATACCATCCCGGTCATCCAAAAGACTTCGACCGCCATACTAAAGGCCATTCCAGCCGATGAGTATAAAAAATGTTTCGAAAAATTTGTTGAACGTTTCCAGCGCTGTATTGACTCAGAAGGAGACTATTTTGAATAAATAAGAATAAAAAATCAAAATAATAAACGCTTTGTATTTTTTTTAGACCAGTCTCATTGGATCTGGGACAGACTGTGTATATTAGACAGTAGCGTCAACTGAGAAACCTAATATATATTGGCATAAATTTTTATAAGTAATTACATGTAGAATTACATGTAAAATTTACTGTCCCAACAACTAAAGTATCAATAGCAGGACAGTTATATGGTATGCAGATATATAATATATATTATATTATACAAAAGAAGTGATATATTAAAACAGTACCGCCAAGTCGTATACTTAATATTTTTAGAAATCTCAAATTCAAATTATTTCCTTTTTTTAAGATATATCTGGTGTAGTAAAAAGAAATCCATTATTTTTGCATGAAATTGAAGGCTTTAATTACCATAGTTAGAATGATCCGATTTAGGTCAAATATGCGCCGTTTTGTTCGATAACTTGTTGTTATTTTGAAGGTAATTTCATTATGCCTCTCTCATAGAAGCCCTCGTCCCTATTGGCAAAAAATTGAGACAGTCGATTTTCACAAGCCTCTCTTGAAGCGAATTTTTCACCAGCAAAATTGTTCGCCATGGACAGGAACAGATGGTAATCACTTGGTGCCAGGTCCGGACTATAAGGTGGATGCATAAGAACCTCCCAACCAAGCTCCCGGAGCTTCTGGCGAGTCACTATCGATGTGTGTGGCCTGGCGTTGTCCTAATGGAACACAATTCCTCTCCTATTGGCCAAAGCTGGCCGCTTCTGGGCGATTGCTTCCTTCAGACGGTCCAATTGTTGACAGTATAGTTCCGAGTTAAGAGTTTTGCCGTAGGGGAGCAGCTCATAGTAGATAATTCCCTGCCAATCCCACCAAACACACAGCAAAACCTTCCTGGCCGTCAATCCTGGCTTGACCACCGTTTCCGCCGGCTCACCGCGATTCGGCCACGACCGTTTTCGCTTGATGTTGTCGTAAGTGATCCACTTTTCATCACCAGTGACCAACCGCTTCAGAAATGGGTAGATTTTGTTGCGATTCAGCAGCGATTCGCAGATGGAAATTCGGTCCATGAGGTTTTTTTGCGTTAACTCGTATGGCACCCATATATCGAGCTTCTTTTTGTATCCAGCCTTATTCAAATGGTTCCAAACGGTTTTTTATGCAATCTTTAGCTCTTGAGCAATCGAAACAGTGCTTACATGACGGTCGGACTCGACAATGTCCATGATTTTATCGATATTTTCGACAATTGGCCTTCCAGTGCGTGGTGCATCTTTGATATCGAAATTACCGGAACGGAATCGACGAAACCAAAATTGCGCGTGATTGGCTGTTACAGTATCAGGACCATAAACACTATTCACATTTTCAGCAGCCTTGCTTGCGTTTTCGCCTTTATCGAAGAAAAACTGTAAAATATAGCGTATTTTCTCTTTGCTAGTGTCCATCTTTGACGCGCGCTCAAACAAAACTGAGTCAACTAATCACAAAACTGTCACAAAAGTTTTTTTAGTACGAAATCTCATCTTTCTAACGCCATCTAGTGGAACCCGATCGGACTTATACAACGCGAGATACAGATAACTAAAGCCATCTATTGGAAAAATAATGGATTTCTTTTTACTACACCTGATATTTGGCATAAGAGAACCATTTCATTAGTTGTTGAACGATGCCGAATACCTGCCACCGATGGAGGATATTCGCATTCTCATCGGAAACGAGACGATCAAGTAAGTATAATTCTTTTAATATAAAGTTTTAAACTTAACTTTTCATATATTTTTAGTTCAAATAGGTTTTATGTGTTTATTCATTAATATTATTTGTATGTCATTAATAGATAAAGTAATCCCTGGATCTGGCATATAGAACGAAGTTTTAAATTCATTAGTTACTGTATATCAGATCCCTGGATCTGGCATATAGAACGAAGTTTTAAATGCATTAGTTACTGTATATCAGATAATTACAAAAGTTTCTCTAAGGTTAAAGCATGTCACAATATTTCACACGATAAGGTTGTCGAAACAACAAATATTATGACTGAGAAAATAAGAATAAATGCAAGTAATGGATTGGATATATCTGACGATCCTTTGAATGATACAGATTCAGCTTTGATATGTTAGTATATTTTATAATACAAAAAATGTAATGTTTACTACTACAATTGATTATACAGAAGCAGATGCAGATTCATCTTTTCAAAGATTACAGTAATATAAATGAAAGTTTTAATACATTCAAATTACAAAAAACTAATTATATGAAAGAATATTAAGAATAAATAAAAGATAAAAAAAGATATATTTCAATAAGGTCGTCGGCCCCTTCTTCCTCTTCATGCGCTATATCTGGGCAATTTTCCAATTGCTTGTATAACAGATAATATAATTTGTATCTGCGATATCTGCGACCGATGGAGGATATTCACATTCTCATCGAAAACAAGACGATCAAGTAAGTATAATTTTTTTTAATATAAAGTTTTATACTTAACTTTTAATATATTTTTAGTTGAAATAGGTTTTATGCGTTTATTCATTAATATTATTTGTATGTAATTAACTTACAATCTTATTCTTATAGTTAGAGTAATTCCTGGATCTGGCATATAGAACGAAGTTTTATATGCATTAGTTACTATATATCAAATACTAATAATTACAAAAATTTCTCTAAAGCTAAAGCATGTTACAATATTTCACACGATAAGGTTGTCGAAATAATAGATGTTATGACTGAGAAAATAGGAATAAATGCAAGTAATGGATTGGATATATCTGATCCTTTGAATGATACAGATTCAGCTTTGATGTTAGTATATTTTATTTATATTGCACTGAAACAAATATAATAATCTTTATAATATAATTAATGAATTATATTTATTTTTATATAATAATACAAGAAATGTTATGTTTACTACTGCAATTGATTATACAGAAGCAGATGCAGATTCAATGGTTACGGATTATAATATTCACTTATATATTATATATTATTATTATATAGTATTTACTGTTTTTTGCAGACTTTGAAACTTGTCGATGACTATATACCTCAGATATCCAATTTTGTTACAGGCGAGGTATTAAGTTCCTGTATAAGATAATGCCTCTTGATAAATATTGGAAACGTGTTAATATATTATACGCGTATAAATTATTATATATATAGAGTGATTCAGACCATTCGTACAGCCCTTTTATTTCGGAAATAGAACATTTTAGAGATAAATATTTCAGACAAAAGTTGTAGGGCTTCAAAGGATCTATTTACTGACGTTATGAATTTAACCTTGGTCTTAAATGGATATCCCAATTTTTTATTATATCGTCTTTTTCTAGCAATTAATTTGAACAACTTTTATCTGAAACATTTTTTAATTTTATTTAAGGAAAATTTAATAACTTTTTCAATATTTAACTCACGATATCTCGCTGACTATTTGTCAGAAGAAAAAGTGGTACTAGAGTTTTTTGCTCTATTTAGTCTCAAGAATATATTGGGTGCGTTCCGTTTCACGCATGGATCGCATTGACAGCAGCGCATCATATAAGCGCATTGGCTCGTTCCGTTTTTACCATTACTCTTAATGCGCATAGAAAAACGGAACGGACCTATGCGATCTTTGGACTGTTTGTAAACAGACATGGCGGATAAGAAGTTACTCGTTGTTGTGTCTTCTATTATCTGCAGCCAGATTGACGAAGAAGATTATGACGAAATTTCTTCATCATCCAGCAGTGATTCCAATGACAATAAAGATGATGTTAATGACGAGGAAATTGACATGCGTACCTTATATGTCATGTTAATGGCGAATAAGACGCGCGGTCAAACTCGTCAAGTCGAAAAAGTAAACGATTATGTGGAACGAGTTATTCCAGGATATTCAAAAATAACTTTAAAGAACATTTTAGGTTTGTACAAATGTATTTCTCGTCAATGATTAATAAATGCAGGTCTGCCATATATTTCATTTCATGTAGTATGTAGAGTGTTTCCAGAGACATTTCAAATAATTCTGAGGCTTTTGAGGGCACCTTTGAATGCCACAAATGCTCGTGGAAGGAAACAAATATCTGCAGAAAAGCAACTTTTAATAACATTATGGTACATGGCTACTCCAGATTCATATCAGTATGTATTTGAAACTATTGAAAGAAACAGCATAATATTGCAACTATAATCATATCATTCTATATACAGATCTGTGTGCGTCAAGTTTGGTGTGGGAAAGGCCACTGCATTGCGCGCTGTGAGACGGGTAACTCATACTCTCCACTGTCTAGCACCACATTTTATTAAATGGCCAAGAAAAGAAGAGGCTATCGATGCTATGGAAGCATTTAAAAAAGTAAAAGGTTTTCCAGGCGTTATTGGGGCTACTGATAGCTCATTTATACAGATACATAGTCCTCAAAAAGATGCAGCTTCTTATGTCTGTAGAAAAAATTATCCCGCTATTCATCTACAAGCTGTGTGTAATGCTCGAAGTTTATTTACTCATTGCTATGTTGGGCATGCAGGATCTGTGCATGATGCACGAGTTTTTAGAAACTCTCCTCTAGCTGACTTTATCCAACAGCCACATAATTATTTTCCCTTCGATTCTCATCTTTTAAGAGATGCAGCATATTCAATTCATCCACATGTCATAGTGCCATTTAGAGATAATAGACATCTCATTGCAAGACAAAAAAACTTTAATTATTGCTTATCATCTACTCGCATGGCCATTGAAAGAGCTTTTGGACTTTTGAAAATGAGATTTCGAGTTTTGCTTGACTGTCTGCCTTTTACTAATATGCCTTTTACTAATATGCTTATACTAATATGCACGTGATGCCGTACGGAAAGTCGGTGCGAGTCGACGCTGCAGGGCCGGCGGCCTGGTTCCCGGGGCGTTCTCGCTAGCGGCGTGGGACGCGGGTTCTCGCGAGCGAGCGCGCGGGACCCCCACTAGGTCCAACCGCGGCCGCTACACGGCGCGGCTCGCGATTCCGCTGCCCGCAGGCAAGATTCGACCGCCCGGATATATAACCAAGCGCGCCGTGCCTGGCCTTTGCCTTGCCTTGTCTTCTGCCTGGCCAGTTTTGGTAGCACGTAGTGCTACGTGTTAGTGCACCGTGTACTGGTGATTACCGACGCGCTTTTTCTAGGCTTCCTAGGGCGATCGGTCTTTCGTTCAGATTCGAACCACTGCTCTATAGACTCTACTGAATTGAAGGTGGCGCCGATACACCCTGCTGGGTTGAGGCTAATGGTTCGAATCTCGTTGTGATCTCGGACTCACGGCGTTGCCGTGATCTTAGGAGCAACTCGACCGTCTCCTCGGAGCTTCGAGCTCCCTTGTTGCCTAAGTGTCCGTAGGGGGGGCCTTGGCGATTTTGAAGCGGCTCGGTCGCAGTCCTAGAGCGTTCGCGCTCCTTCGTCCAAGTGTCCGTTGGGAACTTGGCTTTCTCGCAGGAGCGACTTGGTCGTCCTGCGAGCCGGAGCTCTCGGAGCTCCATTCCCACGCGTCCTCGGGACCGTGGCTGGCTGTTACGTCCGGAAGGGCAGGCCATCCGAAACGACGGAGGTCGTTTCGTTGCACGTCCTTGGCGTGCTTCGGGTGCCGCGCACCGTTGACGTCACGGACGTGTGTTTTGCGGGACTTGCGTAAGCGACGTTGTTTCGCTTGTACATAGTTGCGTCGTTCTCCTGCGTTGTTCCACTTGCGTTTTACTACATTACTTCCGCGACACTCTATTGCGTCTACTGCGTTCGTTGCGTTTTACTTCGGCGTCTCTCCAGCATTGCGTGCGTGTCCTCTCTCTCTCTCTCTCTTGATCGCTTCGCCGCCGTCCCTGAGCGCGGTGCGTCGGCGCACTCCGTGGTCGCCTTACGGGGCCCCGGCCTTCGATCAGGACGACCGGTCGGTCGTCGAGCGGACTCGAGCGAACCTGGACGCAGGCGGACGTCGCAAGGCGATCCCTTATTTCCAGCCAGCTCTCCGGAGCTATCATATGTTCGGTCTTGTTTCGAACAATGACCAAGATACTATAATTTATTATTGCATGCTGTGTAATGCACTATATTTGCATATTACAAAATGACAATATTGATATTATTGTTTGTCCTAACAATGTTGAGAATATTGCCGCTGGTGTTATAGTACCAGGGGCAGATTTAGGTAACCAAAAAAGAATAAGAATCATGAATGAATTGACAATGAGATTTATAAATTAAAACAATTAGATGTTTCTTGGACTTTGGACAGGTGGTTTGGGACCTTTATTAAAATGATTTTAATTTAATTTATATTAAAAATTTATTGATGTTTACAATATAAGATAAAAATGAAATAACTTCCACATATTCTAATGTATTTCATGTATTTTAATTATAACAATTGATCAATGTGTTAAAAACAATTTTTTTTGCTCATGTGTTACTGAAAAAAGGAAATAAATATATCTGAAATAAGTGTTGGCTATTTATTGCACATATATTTTACAACATATAAACAGTAAAAAAAGTAACAGTGGATATAAACATAACAGTTCTTACTCTTAATTTTCTAAATACAATAATCAAAAAGCATCTCATCAGTCGAGTTCAAACTAAAATTAAGTATGCAGTCATTATTCTTAATTTTCTGATGCAATAATAAACTTAAAAGGAGTCTCATAATTCCAATTTAAATGAAAATTGAATATCACGTTGGAAGTAATATAAAAAATATGCTAAATATGTTATTAAATTTATTTTTCTTATATTCCCTAAAGCATCTAACTGCATAAAATAAGAACAAGTTTAATCTAATCAGTCGAGCTCAAATTAAAAATAAGTATGCGATCATTATTCTTAATTTTTTTATGCAACAATAAACTTTAAAGGGGTCTCATAATTCCAATTTAAACAAAAATTAAATATGCAATCATTTAAATAAAAGAGTCAATATATAGGAAATATCAAACAGCGTTAAACTTATATCAGATATACAGATATCATCATTAAGGCTTTTCTATATGAATTTAAGCATATATCAAAACACATTTTGATGGCCGAACCTTCGGCCCTTATGCAGGGGTGCGGGGGGGGCGAACAGTACATCGCGCGAGAATTATGGAGGGGGGAGCGCCGCCTTGCCCTCCCCCGCAGTAATTAGTGTTAGTAATAGGAGCGCGCAGGTGGAACGGTCCCGCGTCCCCGAGCTCTGTGCCCCTGGACCTCCTGCGCCGCCCATCAAGACCGGAGGGACCAGTGGAGGAGGGAAGAGGACGACACCCCTCAGCCAGACCGCCACCCCAGGTGAATGCACTTCTTTACGAATACTATTATCGATTCCGTATCGTAGTGAAAGATTCTCGCTGCCGATTTCGTTGTCCACAGGCCTGCAGGGATATCGCACCAAACGGTCGGCGTTCCCGTGCTCGAAACGTGAACGCCGGCTAGACAAAGCGGGCCTAGGCGACACGACAGCGGGAGCGCGAGCGAGAGAGAGAACGCGCGAGAGTGAGACCGAGACCCGTTCCGCGGATCGACAACAAAGATCCGCGGAAGGATTCCCGTATTGGGAGATGAAACGAGGAACGGGGAGAGAAACGTAGCAAGACACAACAATGAAGAAAGGAGCGACACTGTTTTTGGCGGAGAATAAAAGAGCGAACTCCCGTCTTCGCTTTTTCTTCTCTCCTATCTCTTATCTCAGGGATCGTTAGTCTGTTGTCGGCTAAAGCGAGAAAAGTACCGCTTGGAGTATCGAACATATCGCTGTGAAAAGAAGTGTCGTGCTAATACCGAACAAAAAGGGATATCGTCTGCCGGGAGCGAGAGGAGAGGCTCTGGTGGAGTTCCACGCGCCCAAGGAGTTACCGGGGGCGGCTACGTGGCGTAGGAGCGAGCTGCGGAAGGAAAGCGAAGGACCACGCCGCCGGGGGGGTTCCCGACTTTGTAAGACCGTCCACCTGCTTCACTATTTCGGTATCCCGGGCGTACCGTGTCTCGTATTAGTTAGCGGCGTAGAGCAAGTTTCGAATTCGCGAGAGCGTCTCGCGGAGTGTACCGTATCGAGGGGTCGGATCGTGCCGATCCCCGACAGAATAAAGACTGAGATAAGCGAAGCGCGTCTCGATTCTTGTGTCTTCCCGACTATATCCCGGACTCCCGATCGAACCCTCCCGTCTACCAACTGTAAAATACCGCGGAGCTACCGGTCCCGTCGAATTCGCGTGTCTCGGTCTTGGGGGGGGTGTATCGTCTCGTGTTGGTGAACGGTGCAGCCTGCTGCACCTGGCGCCCAACCCCTTTGGTGCAAGCGCGAACGACCGAGGCGCGTGGACCGAAGGCCGTTTGCCGACGGCGAGCGAAAATCCCGTCGCAGTGCATGCAGAATATGTAAATGTGTTGGTATATGCATAATTCATATGGACGCTAACTATACCTACAAAAACAAAATAAAATATCAAATCTTGACTAGTTATGCACTTTATGCATAGAATGACAATACTGTTTGAAATATTCCTAAAGAGGTTTATCCTGTAATTTTTAATGATGTTATGTATCACTGCACAGATTTTTTGCAGTAGCTGTGCAATTATATATAACATCATTATAAGTTATAGAATAGGCCTCTATTTTTGTTCTGCTATTTTAGCAAGTAGTTTAAGCAGGGATTGGTGGAACTCCATTCTACTTTTTCGTGTTTTACTGTTCTGCTTTCACTTATTTTCCTTTTCTTCTCTTCTTTCATCTCTCCTCCGTTGTTTCTTCTCCTTCTCCTTCTGTTTATCTTCTTTCATTTCTGCAATGAACGATTCTAAAATTGATTCCACCCGCCTTTTTCTGGTTTCAGCTCATCTGCTTCTAACGACTTATCTAATGAGGATGAAGAGCACCCTGGACTAGATGGACCATCACTGCTAGCTATTGATGCAGGTTCTGTCCAGGTTTTTTTTCCAAATATTGAATCCATAACAGAGTAAAAGGCCTAAGAACTTGCATGATTACCTGATTTATTGTTGCTGTCAGATATATTTTTGTATGTTCTTTTCAATCCTGACATTTTATTTTGACATTGTATAGCAGTGACATTATACTTTGCTTTATTCATTTCACTGGCAATATCCATCCATATTTTATTATGACGTATCAGCCCTGATACAAAATCAGACTCTTTGTTTCGATAAATCTCCAAAAGCAAAAGAATTGCCTTATCAGGCCAAATGAAAGAATCCTTCTTAGCTTCGTTTGCTTCAGATATAGGCTGTCTTGATTTATCAGCTTGTTCTTCGTCATTTACTGCTATGCTTTTTCTTTCACTTTCTTTAGCCACCAAAGCTTGATTACTTCCTCATCTGTCAAAGTAAAATAAGACTTTAATTGCTTAGAGCATCCTAGAAAATGAATGTTATTCCACAAAATAATATTTCGATTCAAATTCAGTATGCTAAATATATATATATATATATTCTATATATGTATATATATATGATCTAAATATCTGCCTGTTTATATATATGAGGCAAATGAAATTGGCCTCATATATAAACAAAAACACAATCCCTATGGAATTAATATCACGCTGCTGTTTTTTAACTTTTCTGAACCCATCCTATTTTCTATGACACACAGACTACAGTTTGTGAGATTGTAATTTTTAAGCAATAGAAATATAATATGAAGTTTTTTTGCATGAACTTTCATTTTTAGTTTCATTCTTAAGTTCGTGATATCTGTTAATAAAAAAGCAGAAAAAATTGTAAATAACATTAATCTTTATGTGTACAATTTCGGAAAATAGATCGGTTTTGGAAAAAAAATCTGTTTTGTGTTTTGGTTGGTCTGAGGGACCATAGAGTG